TTATATGAGTTATATAATTATACTAAATAAACGAGAATTACCCGTCTATAATTTTATTATATTTAAATAATAATACTAATTAACGACAAAATGATAAGAATCTTTTTTATTAAAAAATTCCTTGACCTCAAAGTTATACTTTATACAATTTAAACATAAATTTAGTATTTTTCGAGAAAAAACGATAATTTATTTCAATATTTCAATTTTCAACATATTATGGGTCCTGTTATAACTTGAGGTTCTTAGTGAAAACCAAGAATTGGAAGCTACCCGACGTCTGTCCGAATATTGTTCCTATCTCCTTAAATGAGTTTCTATTACCTGAAGGTGCACAGTCAATCGTATACCATAGTTACTAGAGAGAGAGAAAGAGATTATATAATAAAGTTAAACTATTGTTTGATGTCAACGACGAAGTAGAGTTATATTTTAGACGTTCAGTATATATAAGTTATATGTAGTGTACATTACGTCTGACCTGAATCCTAGTACAGTTAGTTAGTAGGTATATCTAAGAGAGCGGGTGTTTAGATGACAATTGACGATAAACGAGTCTTTTAATAAAATAAGTTAAGATATTAACAATATAAATAAGACAAAAGTGATAGTATTGAAAACTATGTGTATAACGGCCACTCAAACACAACTGGCTTTTGGTTAGTTCAATATCAGTATCTCCGGGTAACAGGCGAGTAGAATTGTCACATCAGCATCTCCCTCTATGTTAATTAATATGTATTACGAATTAAGTAAATGGAAATAAATAGTGTATAATATAAGTGGTAAGAACTTAGTAAAAAGTATTTTAGAAACTCTAATGCAAGTATTAGTTGAGATAGAGAGTACAAATTTTCAAATAATTATTTTTTCATAACACTTAAAAAAATTGGGATACCATAGTATAAACAGTTTTATTTATAAATAAGAAATACACTAAGTTTATCGTCATAATTTTTTAATTGATAATGTTGCATCTAAAATAAATATACAAAAACAGAACAATTATGAAAGTTGAACTAATAACAATATTATTTTTTTGTAAATAATTTTTTTAAATTAATTGTAAGTATAGTCAACATTAAGATACTAAATAAGAATACATAAATATCCAGGCTATCATTATCAGTAATTATAAACTTAACATACAATAATACGATTATTGATAGATTCACAGATAAAATAATACTTGGGCACTTAATTTAAGATTTCCTCCAAAGTTTTTGACCTTCCTTCAATAATTTTAAACTTAAAAAGTACTAAAAAAAAATTGTATTACAACAAAAATTTAATTTAATAAACATATTCATATATATTTATTCTTCGATATTAATAAAATATCATTAAATTCATACATCATACCAAGTATAGAAAAATTCAAAAACTTAAACAAATTACATATTAAAATAACCTTGAAGATTGATGGAAATAAACTTATTTTTATACATCCAATAACTATAATAAGTTTTAGTCTTTCTATATAATAAACATATTTTGGGGCTTTTTACGTCTAGTAAATGATATTATTGCACATTGGTCAAAATTTATTTTTTATACGTCAAAATAGTAAAATGATTATGATCTCTAAGTATATTTTTTCAATAATCCAATGAATTAATTGCCCTAAATAAGTTTAAGTTGTTAATAAAAACATAACTAAACCTAAGTACAAAGTTTTAAAAAATTCGTGAAAATTAAAAAACAAACAATGGAGACAAATTTTCACCTTGGATTACTCCTGATGGGATAAAGTATTAAGTATTAAGTATTGAAAAATGACGAAAGTCTATTGGAATATAGTACTCGTTTTATCATAACCTGTTAAAATGTCCTAACCTAAGATAGTTAATTTAGAAGAATTATATGAATGTCATCTATTTGGCTGTTATTTTCAACTTCTTGAAGTATATTAGTAAAATATACAAGAAGATTTGTTGACCTTGATTTATGACATACTATTATAGTTATTTATAATATAATAGTTTACTTTATAAATATTAAGTTAATTAAAGTATATAGAATGCAAACTATCCAAAACATAATCGAAAATTCACATGTGTAGTTGGTCTCATTTAAAACCTTCTTGTTTTCTCAAGTTTTCTATTGTATTTTCATGAATATCATCAAAAGAAAAGCTTATTTGTTGCTAATATGTGGATAACAAATTTATACAAATCAACTCTTTAATTCAAAATTATTAAAATTTTAAAATGTAAAAAAAAATTATGATTTTTAATTAATTAAGCGGCCGCTTAATTATGAAATACTTATCCAATTTCTTAATTTTGAGGGGGATTTTTTTGATTTCTGGTGCTGAAAAGTTCCACTTATTACAAATCGGGTTCCTTTGATACATACAAGTCATTAAAATCGACCCAGTATGAGCGAGTATTATATGGATAGATGGGAAAAAACACATCATGATAAAATCTCTACTTTACAGCTTCACCATCAGAGCGAAAATGTATTATATTTAAAGGTGTAATTATTTTAAAATATTGGGAAAAGCTGTATGTATGTTTCAGTTTAAATTTTGAGACTATACTTTTATTCATGACCATTAAAGATATGAGAATTGATCACATATGGCTAATATTATTTAAAATTAAGTTTTTTGCTTAGAAATAATCGTAAAATTTGTAAAAAAAAAAAAAGGTATAAGGGTTTTAATTTATAATTTGAGGTATTTAAAGCCCCATAAAATTTCTAAATTTGAGCCTATAGGTTTGCTAATAAGCACTTTATTATTATGCTATGATTTTTCGTTTATCTTTTCGCCCTTCCCTTAAAATTTATTCCTACTGCAACTGAACAAAATACATATCGCATTTATTTGTATTTATTAAAATGTAATATTTTTACTAAAATAACTGGTACAGTTAATGAACACCTCTGAAAAGTGAACATTATTGGAATTTATAAACTTATAATGCATATTTGCATATAATGCATAATAGAATTTTATATTGTTCTTATATTAAAAGGATAAGTGCGATTAGAAACAATCGAAAATGATCATTAAAATTAAAATTATTTCCGTGAAATTTGTAATTATTAAATTTGTTAAATTAAATATGCGTTTTAAAATAATCGTATGTATTAATTTAAATTATTTTCAAGAAATTTGTCATTGTTTGGTTAATATATATAAAAAAAAAAAAATCGCAAACACTACTACATATTTTTAAATCCAATAATTCATCTTATCCCAAGTGTCAACTTGTACTGCTGTCCCATTTAAAATAAAAATTAAAACACCTTTTTATGATAAATCATACTCTTGGTTAAATAAAAATTAAAACACCTTTTTATGATAAATCATACTCTTGGTTAAATAAAAATTAAAACACCTTTTTATGATAAATCATACTCTTGGTTAAATAAAAATTAAAACACCTTTTTATGATAAATCATACTCTTGGTTAAATAAAAATTAAAACACCTTTTTATGATAAATCATACTCTTGGTTAAATAAAAATTAAAACACCTTTTTATGATAAATCATACTCTTGGTTAAATAAAAATTAAAACACCTTTTTATGATAAATCATACTCTTGGTTAAATAAAAATTAAAACACCTTTTTATGATAAATCATACTCTTGGTTAAATAAAAATTAAAACACCTTTTTATGATAAATCATACTCTTGGTTAAATAAAAATTAAAACACCTTTTTATGATAAATCATACTCTTGGTTAAATAAAAATTAAAACACCTTTTTATGATAAATCATACTCTTGGTTAAATAAAAATTAAAACACCTTTTTATGATAAATCATACTCTTGGTTAAATAAAAATTAAAACACCTTTTTATGATAAATCATACTCTTGGTTAAATAAAAATTAAAACACCTTTTTATGATAAATCATACTCTTGGTTAAATAAAAATTAAAACACCTTTTTATGATAAATCATACTCTTGGTTAAATAAAAATTAAAACACCTTTTTATGATAAATCATACTCTTGGTTAAATAAAAATTAAAACACCTTTTTATGATAAATCATACTCTTGGTTAAATAAAAATTAAAACACCTTTTTATGATAAATCATACTCTTGGTTAAATAAAAATTAAAACACCTTTTTATGATAAATCATACTCTTGGTTAAATAAAAATTAAAACACCTTTTTATGATAAATCATACTCTTGGTTAAATAAAAATTAAAACACCTTTTTATGATAAATCATACTCTTGGTTAAATTTTAAATTATTATCCGAAAATTTAAAAATATATTACGTTAATTTAAATCTTATTTTAAAAATATAATTATTATTTATGTTTAACACACTGACACATCTCTTTTATTATCATATATTTTTTGTTCAAAGTTGTAATTTTTATTTTATCAGCTTTATAAATTAATTTAAAATATATTTATATACTTCAAATAATTCAATTTAGGTTTTTTGTCAGTTCTTAAGTTTAATTATTACTTAAATTAGTGAAAAATATAACTTAAAAATAGATTATGAGCATATTGATTTATTATATTTTTCCTCTTATCTATTAAATTAGGTTATATTTAGTAATAAAATGTGTTTTTGACTTAATAATAGCACTATATTCTATAATCTCCCTCTATATCCTATTTTCGTAAGCCCCTCTAAATAAGAATTTTACGTTTTTTCCGTATTATCTATTACTATTATGATAAAATGTAAGATACCAATTAATATAAAAAAATAACGAAAAATATTTTAATAATAAATTATATAGTTAGTAAATATTAAATTAATATCTGCAATTTTTTTAACTTCAGTATATTTCTACTAAATTTTATTTAGTTAGACAATGAGTGAATAAAATATACCTTCGTTAATCCATAAATAATTATTATTAATGTAAATTTAATTGACATTTTTAAATGTCAATTAAACCTGATTAATACATATATTATTTTTAATGCTTATAATTTAAATAAATTTTTGCTAACTATATTTTAGATTTCTCAAAATAGACTAAATTGTTATATATAAACGGAATTAATTAAATAATAAAACTATATTTCACCTTTACTTTATATTGTTGCAATTATATTGCCAGTACTAGACTTTATTACTGTTGCTGTTTAATCATCATAAAAAATGCGTTTCTACTTTTGTTTTGGAATTTTACTTTGTTTTATTTGTTTAATTATCATACCAAAGTTTTCAACCGGAATGCCAAGCTCAAGTGGATCAACTTCTAACAATGAGGTAAAATAAGTATTTATAATTTTATTATTTTTCACGATTATTATTTTTTTAATTTCTAAAATGTTTTGCTACTTATGTTAGTAATTATAATAACAAATAAAATAAATTTTTTGTAGAGTGATCCTAGTGTAGTCAATAACAATGAGGTAAAATAAGTATTTATAGTTATTATTAATATAGTGATTCTTTTAACTCTAGTCAATCGATATCTTTTATAATAGTTGTTGATGTATGTTTGTAGTATGTATGTTTATTGATTGATGTATGTTTATAGTTGTTGTATGTTAAGATAAATATTTTTGGTATTTTTTAGTTTCATATACTTCTTCATTTATGAGTTACTAATTATATTTTTAATTCATCCATTATATTTTAAAAGAATTAAAAATTTTTTTTTTTTTATTACATATTTAACTATCTTATAACAAAAAATAATTTAATTGAGAAAATATAAATTTTGTTCTAAAGTAACTGAGCATGAGAACGATTGAGTTATTATATATTTATTAAATAAAATGGTATAATATAATTTTCTCTTGGGGTATGAGTACGAGGGTGAAACATAGAAAAAAAAAGTGATGTCAGAACATTTATTAATATAATATAATAAATATAATAATATTAATAATAATGTGAAATATATAATAAAATAAAAATTAATCATTAATAAAAATAATAAAAGATCGGACAAGAGCAGTGAAATATTAGAAACTAAAATATTTTTTGGTATTTATTTAATTTTTATTAATGGTTCATTACGCAATAGATTGTTGGACATTCGAAAGCATAGGTTAAATTGTACATGCCTTATGTCATATGTAATGCAATAATATTTCAAGTAATCCAATGTTGATTCTGGTATTAATTGCACTACGTATACGTTTACACTACACGTCATAGAGTCAATATAATTACTTACGAAAACGTTTCAAATATTAAATTATACGATTTAATTACACAATATCTATGACTGATTTTACTTGTAAAAGATTCTAAACACTATATTTTATTAAAAGTATAATTTATAATCTGTCATTATTTTTTTTACATTTGCTGAATAAGTGTTTTTTTTTAGAGAGTATATTTTATTAAGAGTTCGACACCAATATTTCTTAAATCTTCCTCCGGCCTGGCAAAACAGGATTCAAAAATATTTATGTAAAAAATTTATCAAGGTGGAATTGTGTTGGCCCAATGTGTCCCGGCGCTAGCGCCTTGAAAGGATGCGGCACAATAATCACCAAGACAAAAATTAAACACTGTAATTATACTCGTAAGTTTCTCTGCGTTGTCTGCCGGCGCGATGTTAGTTAAAACAGACATTAGCGACGAGGCTAGCTACTTATTTTCTCAATAAAAAATTATGTTGATCCATACACTTTTTAATAAGTTGTATCATTATAAAGTTAAAAATGTAAAAAATAAAATCGAGAATTTTCACACAATAATAGCATTCGGTAGAGCTATTTTCACTATGAAGACAAAATAAAGTCTGAAATTTTTTGCATAATAAAGTGCATTACATTAGCTTTAATTTAAGATATATATAAAAGTGTCAGACTTTCCGGAACATTTTCAAAAGTCAAGTTGAAAAAATTAATTTTTTGTGAAAAAGTTGTCATTTTAAATCCCCCCTTTTGGCAGGTATAGGGTCTAATTTAAAAAAAAAATATACCAAATAAAAGGTAACGATATCATGCATCTAGATAAAAAAAAAATTATATTGATTTGGTTGTTTTTAAAAAAGTTTAATTAAACTTTTAATTAAAATTAATTTACTAAAAAATTAGTAAAAAAAATTGAAAGAATTTCGAACATTAGCGATTTTTAAATTTGTAATTCTTTTGGAGGTTTTCCCCATTTATGGGGAACGAGGGATTTTTTTTCAATTTTTGAGGGTAATATCTTCGACAAGATACGGTTTGTGATTTTTGGACGTATCATTAAAAGAAATCGGTTCGGTAAGAGCTGAGAAAAAGTGGTAACAGACACAAAAAAAAAATACATCTTAGTAAAACCAATACCTTCTCAGCTTCGCATCGAAGCTAAAAATTGCAAATGCTACAATATACGAGCCCTAGTCATAACTGTACTACTTGTGTAAAAAATTATACTAAAAAATCATATTGACGAATGAGAATTTTTCAATTATTTCTTTCAATAATTATTATTTTAAAGGAAATCGAATGGTCAGATTTAAAAGAATCAATTTGTGTATACCTTGAATTCATTTTTTATTTTTAACTTTTATAAAAATATATTAATTTTGAAATTTTGACGTAAACTATAACATAGCATTAATTTTTGTTAGCAAATGTATCCCATAACAAATTATTACGTAGATAAAGTAAAAAATAGTGTATTGAATTTGCCATATGTTGAATTTTTTCGTCGCTGTTTCAAAATAATCAATTTTTGGACAAGATCAGGTAATTGAAACTTAATTTTTTTAATCTTGCGTCTATATATTATTTATATGAATAGTAGAACTTAATGAATTAAAGATTCGGTTTAAAATCGATTACAGTTTATTTGGTTGTGCAGTTGTGATTATAAAAGAACGGTACATCGAATAAAAAATATTATAAGAACAACATTTTTTGAAATTTATTGCTATCATAGGATAGACACACTCTCTATGGACCCCCTTTACATTGCTTGTGGTCATTTTATTATCGAAACTTTATAAATTATATTTAAGAATAACATAATGCAACATTATTTTGGCAGAGTTATGCATAAGAATAGTTCACTACTTACCATAAACAAAATACTGGTTTGCCATGGATGGGATTGAATACATAGAGAGCGCCTTCACCATATCATTAAATAAAAAATCCTATTTCAATGGGATAACTAAAATATTAGTTTTTAAACTTTTAGTATATATATAATTTTAGATTTGATCAAGAAGGAAATTGTGTTTATTTATGTTCTATTTTTATTCTGAGACACAGATTATTATTCTATAATAACATACATTTTTTGTTATTTCCTAAGATCAACCAGATAGAACTCCAAACGAATTGATTAATATTATGACAGAAGCACTACAAAAAGAAGAAAATATTTTAAAAGAGTCCCTTTGTGGATGTGATGTAAAAAATAATGACACCATTACAAAAAAAGATGCACTAAAAGTTTTCACGAATAAGAAATGTTTTAAGGGTAAATTATTTGGTAATGAATTAAACAACGTACTCAATATGTATACCGATCCTCAAAATCAAGTTAAATACAAAGGTAATCATCATAACTTATTAAAAAGTATAAAATGTTTAAATTGTTAAACATTTTACAACAATTACAATGTCTTATTACATGTTTTTTGTATACTGTTTGATTATTGTTTAAATAATTTTTGAAGACTATTTTCAGAAAATTAATAATTGCTAATTTGAATATATATGTCAGAAACTTTCAAATAAACTACCCTTTTTTTTTTATTGATCATATTTGAACATAATATGTTGACTCTGATTTAAAAACATTTTATGTTATATAGGAAATATCATTAAATTTTTTAAAGATTATAATATACAGGGTGATTTTTTTATCATAACCCACTGAATTACTTACAGAATAATAATAATTTAAAATTTTTTTTTTATTATTATATTTAGTTACACATTATTCTTGAATTATTAACTATGTAATACTTTTTAAGTTCATCCCTTATGCCTGGTAAGGGTGTCAACTTTGTTTTTTTAAATGGTAACACATATTTTTAATTTAATAAAATGTTTGAGTTTTTAATTCAATAATAAATGGCATTTGAATTTTTAATGAAACTTAATTTGTTTATTAGATATAAACATTTAAAGTTTCAAATTTTTGAGTTAATATATAGGTATAATACACAAGGGATTACAAATACAGGTAGCTAATTGGTTTTTTATGACATCGATATTAGCAGGTACACAGCATTGTTATTATCAATGATAGTAAGGTACATTGTTGTGAGTTTATAAATACACTAACTGACAATACAAAAAGTATATCTATTGATAGTCATAATTGATAATAAACAATCCGTGACTGTGATAGCAATATCATAAAAAACCAATTAGCTACCTGTATTTGTAATCCCTTGTGTATTATACCTATATATTAACTCAAAAATTTGAAACTTTAAATGTTTATATCTAATAAACAAATTGAGTTTCATTAAAAATTCAAATGCCATATATTATTGAATTAAAAACTCAAACATTTTATTAAATTAAAAATACGTGTTACCATTTAAAAAAACAAAGTTGACACCCTTACCAGGCATAAGGGATGAACTTAAAAAGTATTACATAGTTAATAATTCAAGAATAATGTGTAACTAAAGATAGTAATAAAAAAAAATGTTTAAATTATTATTATTCTGTAAGTAATTGAGTGGGTTATGATAAAAATATCACACTGTATATAAATTATTGTTATTATTAATTAAGTTTATAATACGATAAATTCTTTAGAACCAATTATATTTGTATGTTTTTAAGCTTGAAGGGATAAGGGATTAGGTAAGTTGGTGGGTCAGGTATAAGTTGACAACTATTAAGTTAATTATTAATGAGTTATGATAAATATTGAACTAATGAATACAAATTTACATGCGGACACCTACTTTTTTTCATACAATTTATCTTAATATTTTATTTTAATTTTAACAACTATTTTAAAATTATGCAATAATAATGACTGCTAACATTTTTGTGTTGGATGAAATAATCGCTGCCTAGTTACACTTTAAACCATTATTTTGTAAAATTGTTCTATTCCACTTAATTAAGCCATGGTTAGGGTAGATCTTTTATAGTGCGTTTAATTTTACAATTATATTTTGTTTCAGAGCTGTTAAAAAATATTGTCACACATATTGAAGGATATCCTATTGAAGTTGATAATCAAGAAACTAATGATTTCATACAATTGTCGTTCAAATAATTATGTGTAAGATAATTTTTTAAAAAATACTCGAAGTAGCTTGTACTCATAGTTTATAAAATATAGTATAACTTCATTAATATCATTTGTTTCATGATATATTTATTTTTAAATGTTTAAATTGTTATAAATAAATTGATGTTTGATTTACGTTCATAGAAATATTATGATTTATTATCACATTTCTAAGGCTAAGTAGCCATAGAGATACATAATCAAAAATATTATAATTTGTTATCCACAAGAATAGTTATAAAAAATATAAATTTAAAAAAGCAGAAGTTGTCAATTACATGATTATTAAAGCTATATGACTCAATTTATTGAATGACAATTCGCCAAGTTAGATCTCGTCTTAGATAATTATTTGCATTTGGTAAAATAAAAATAAATAGAACCGGTTTGAAATTTATGAACACGCTCACAGCATCTGCCAGTAACAAACAAAAGCTAAAGTACTTATAATGTAGGTATAGTATACTATAGCTGATTATAATATCTCTTAGATAATCTTTATATTTAAAAATGCCAATTATTAATTGTGGCAGCTTTATAAAATTATGTATATACTCTATTATCTGTTATCAGTTATTGTAAAACGTATACTGGTATATTGTTAGTATTATTGTTGTTAGTTGTGCTGTACTATCTTCTTCTGATACTTTGATCGAATTACTGTAGTTTAATTATAAAAATGTTAAATTGTTGATGATATTTTTTATATTAAAATTGTGTTAAATCTTTATTAATACTTCGCCACATCGGAGAGAAGCTTCATTAATTACGTTTAGTGTATCGCACAATTATTACATTTTGTATGAATATTATGCTTTACATAAATTTTGAGTTCAATTTAGTATTACGGGTACTTAACATTGACGTTTTACATTTCTACAACGACAAAAAAAATAAGTTGAACAAAAAAAAATTTTTTTTATTTATTGAAAAATATATAGTTATTGGCTCTTTAAAAATCCCACTTTAACTAATAATTATACATATTTATCTAAAAAAATACAATAGTATGTTAAACTTTATTAAAAATATTATTATCTTACAAAATATACTTGATAAAAATATGTTATTAAAAAATATTTATTACATATAAATAATTCTCTTAAGAATAAAAATATTTGTCACTAGTTTTCTGTACCTAACCAAAATTTCAGCATTGTAACACTGTAAAATTACAGTTATTTTTAATTGTTTAAATAAGTCATAGAAACTTAATAATTGTTTATTAAACTTTTTTTAGGTTTCTAAGGTTATTTTAACTGAAAGAAATACTTTAATAAATATAGTTTAAAAAACTAAAAAACACGTTTTTAAAGGACATTGAACTAAAAGGTTAAAAATAATTTTTAAAATAAGTTTAAAACAATAATGAACGAAAAATACTAGTGATAAAAGCGTCGGGCGCTCAATATACGAAAAATATAGCACAAAGCACCCACGCTTTTATCACAATAATACTAGTATTTTTCGTTCATTATTGTTTTAAGCTTATTTTTAACTTTTTAGTTCGATGTGCTTTAAAAGCGTGTTTTTTAGTTTTTTTAAACTATATTTATTTTTCACTTTTTAGTTTCATGTTATGATAGTAGTTAATATGAATATCATGGTTGTAACGGGTAACGGGAATACAGGGTTCGAATCCGGAGAGGGAGTCTGAGAAACGGCTACCACACCAAAGGAAAGTAGCAGGCGCGCAAATTACCCACTCCCAGAACATAGAGGTAGTGTCGAAAAATGATGATACGGGAATCATCCTTTGTAATCGGAATGAATACACTCTGTATCTCTTAATGAGAATAAAGCGTGTTAATTTATATTTTTAATAGTAATTAGAATATATATATATATACATTTCAAGCGACTTAAGTACGTAAAAGTATCATGCACTAGGTATAACATTGTTTTGTGGGCGGGCGGGGCGCGAGGGAACGTTATACTTGAGGCATAGATTAAATACATGTGTATTTAATCTATGGTTGAACAGATCTAACTGACGACTCATATAACTTATGATGCACATTACATTTTATACTTTTTTTTTTTCTAATCAATTTTTGCAATATTGGACTATATTTAAAATATGTCTTATGTTATTTTTCGCAATTACAATAAACATTTTAAAAATAAATTTTTGTTTAAGATTTGAAGATAGCCATTTTATAGAAAAGTTTTAAAGAAAAATTTTGGTACCACCAACTTTTATTTTAATTCAGTAGTTAAGTTTATACAGTATTTTGAAGTGAGTTAAATTTTTTTACGATTTTTCTACGGTACCACACATTAATCATCATATGAGAAAGACGCAGTAAACATTGTGTTTTTATGTTATTTACTGTTAAAATTTCGCGATTTATACTCTATGATAGATACTAACGCTTGAATAAGCATCTGTAGTTGACATGAAAAAACAAGTAGTAGTAAAACTAAGTTTATTAGAAAAATTCATTAAAACGTTGTCTAAAACATGTTATAATAAGTTATAATAGCAAACACAATAGTGAATAAGTGAATTTATTATCATATATCCTAACAAGTAATATCCTATAATGATATGATATGAATGATAGACTCACGCAAATAATACAGTAGAACCTCATTAATCCGGACCTCATTAGTCCGGACAGCTGTCTAAAATATTACGAAAAACACGCAGTTTATACCGTAGACTAAAATAAACATAAAAGCAAGTTCCTCGAATTTCCCATGAGTTTTAAATCCTGTAAATACGTACCATATGTCCTATGTCACGTAATCATATTTTAAATACTATAACCAGTGGCGGCTCGTGGCTTGAACGACGGGACGATCGCACCCCCTACTAAAATTAATTAAAAGAAGATTATTAAATGTATGTTCTTAATACTACATTTTTATGAAAAATGCAAATTTTTAAATAGTAAAATAGCTATAATACATTTGTCGTGTGCGAACATTAGAGTTGTTTGCCTCAGTATAAGCGAGTTCGCGTCACACACAAGCAGTGTTTGGACGACCTACAGCGTCGTCCGAATAATATTTGAAACGTATATTATAAACGAGGGGGCCCAATCGTGTGCGTGCGGGTACGGTTAAGCTGCAATCTTATAATAATAATAATATCTTTATTAAGGAAAAAACTCCAATTACAATTTATATATAAATATGATAACAGTAGAGAACACGTAACAATCAAATCACAAACTAATACAAGTAAATTTATATTATAGATTATTAATTTTTATTATTCAATGTATAAAGATCTAAATTTATCGATATTACTACAATCGAAAAAATCCGCACCAGTCCTATTACCCGCCAACATTAAAACAATAATGGGAGAAGATTCAAATATTTTTTTTTTTTATTATTATTTACGTAGAATAAATCTTTAATTCGGGTGCTAATTTTAGGTATTTTTAATTGTAAATGCTCAAGAAGGAATTAGCAATCAATGTCACCATTAATAAGTTAATATAAAAACACTAAATTTTGANAAATCAATGTCACCATTAATAAGTTTATATAAAAACACTAAATTTTGACTGTTCCTTCTATAACCCAAAGTATTAATATCAAAAAACCCTAAAACTCCATCGTAGCCAGAATGGGGTACCTTTTCAACCCTACATTTAAATGATTAATATCTTGGAAAATTATTTTGTATTGAATCTAAGACATGAAATTGTGTAAAAGAATTATTGAACCAAACAAGTGAAGCGTATTCAAGGCGAGATCTTACTAATGAAAAATAAACTGCCTTAAATCTGCGCAAAAGAATTCGTGGCAACTTCTTTTTATGAAGTGTAAATAAGATTTAGCCTTTATTTTTATCTCATTTATGTGTGCGTTAAAAGTTAGTTTCGTATCAAATGTAACTCTCCCATATCTTTTACATTATCTACTCTTTGAAGAAAATGATTGTTTAAAAAGTGTTCATGCAGTATGGGTTTTTTTTAGTGTAAAGGATAAGATTGAGCATTTATTTATATTGAGAGTCATACCATTATCGTTACACCACTTAAGAAATTATGAATATCAGTTTGAAAGCAAATAGCATCGGAAATCGAGTTAATGGGCATAAATAAGGTTTTGAGGTCTTAATTAATTATAAATGCGAATTGTTGGACTTATTTGAGGATCTACATGTAGGCGATACTCTAAATCTGTAAAATAATCAGATTTTATACTGTAGTTAACTGGTTATTTTGTTTTTTAAATAAGGGAACGATGTTTTGGTGATCTTGTAAATTCATAATAAGTGATAAACATGTACAA